ATCACTGACGCAATGAGCATGAAAGTGAGCCAACTCAGGGAGGCAGTGAAGGACAGGAAGGCCTGGCGCGATATGGTTCATGTGGTCACGAAGAGTCGGGCACGACTCAACGACTGAACAACAAATTAAGTTGTTCACAACAATTATGAATGAGAGGTTGAAAATAATTTTGCAAGAATTTATTAATGAGGATCAATATGGACTTTTACCTAAAAGACAGTTAAAGGATAATATAAGAAATGTGTTGGACGTTTTGGAATACTTGGAGCAACATAATAAAAAACAAGTTGCATTGATTTTCTTAGATGCGGAGAAAACCTTTGACAATTTGAACTGGGCCTTCCTGTTTAAACTTTTGGAAGATAATGAATTTTTGAGAGAATGTTATTAAATGGGTAAGACTGATCTACACTTCACAGAAAGCACAAATAATTGTCAATGGAAATTTAACAAAACCTTGTGAGATACAAAAAGGGACAAGACAGGGATGATCACTGTCTCCTCTCTTGTTTATTTTGAAATACTGAAATACTGAATAGAGATGTAAGACAAGATGAGAGAATTGTGGGAGTAAAGTTTAAAAAAGAACTTTTGCTCGTGACTTAGTGTTGATTCTGGAGGATCCACTAAAGGGAATAGATTAATGGGAAAATTAAAAGACTTTGGTACACTCACAGGTTTTAAGATTAACAATCAGAAGACTAAGATGTTAACAGAAAATATGAAAATTGAGGATCAAACAGAACTGATGAAGAAAACGGGTTTTAAGATTGAGAAAAACGTAAAATACTTGGGTATTACTATGACAAATATGAATTGTATGTTATTTCAAAATAATTATGTCAAGACAGTGGCAAAAGGATATATCTAAGTTTGTATGGCAAAGGAAAAAAACACAAGTTAAATATAAGGTGTTACAAGATGGAAAGGAAAGAGGAGGATAGAGTTTACCTGATTAGAAATTGTACTTTGCAGCTTGCTGTTTGGTTTGGCTGAAAGAGTGGGTGTTGCTGAGAAATAAAAGACTTTTAGAGTTTGAAGCACATGATTTGAGATTTGGGTGGCATGGATATTTGTGGCACGATAAAGCTAAAGTTAATGTAGATTTTAAAAATCACTATGTTAGACGTGCTATATGGAGAATCTGGAACAGATACAAATCCAGGTTGTGCCCAAAAACACCTTTGTAGCTCTCAGCACAAGTTAATGTAGATTTTAAAAATCACTATGTTAGACGTGCTATATGGAGAATCTGGAACAGATACAAATCCAGGTTGTGCCCAAAAACACCTTTGTAGCTCTCAGCACAAGAAGCATTTTACAGATGAGAAGTAATAGGCGAACACAAATGGTTAATATACCGTGAGATACTAGAATTATGTCAAGGGGGATACAAATGAAATCAAGAGAACAACTGATGGCAGAAGGACATAACTGTCAATGATTTTCCTATTTACAGTTATCAGAAAGATTCAAAGTAGACAAAATAATTTATGGTATTAATATTCTAAGACTGACTTTGAAACGGAATTGTGTACAAATGATGAACATGCGATAGCTAAAATGTATAAATTTTTATTGAAATTTGAAACAGAAGAACAAGTGAAATAATGTATGAGAAAGTGGGCTAAAATTTTTGGTTATAATATACAGATGAAATAAAGGGAAAATATGTGGTTGAAAGCTACAGGAGTCATCTACAACATACAGTGTAAGGATTGTCAAACCACTATGTAGGACAGACAGGCAGAAGGCTAGCAGAGCGCATCCATGAACACCAACTATCATCAGAAGACATGATGAAAACTCCTTAATCTCACAATACATTGACAGACTCAACCATAGTTTCAACTGGGAAACTGTGAGCATCCTAGACCAAGCTAAATCCAAAAATGCAAAATCACCCATCAAAGACACATAGAGATAAACCACATTTATACACCATTCAAAAGAGACAATAAAAA